CTATGTACGATCTGTTTCTTCATAAACGTAAAAAGCACAATATGTTTAAAAAAATAAAACAATTAAAATATGCGTGTACGAAGTGTGACAGATTCTTTGCACATAGTTCGACTTGGGAGAATCACAGTAAGAATAAGTGCCCTAATATAACCGATAAGTGTTGCAAATATTGCAAAGCAAAGTTCACGACACGTACCAAATTGATACTCCATTTGAAGGTAACTTTATTATAAATTATATATTTCGAAGGCGAGAAGAAATTATCTACACTTTTGAAAAGCATTGAAAAGCAAGGAGACTAATGTAGAAAATGAGTAGAAAAATAATATATTTATACTTGTTAAATCCCTACTTTTATGGCAAAAATTAGAAACAAAAGTGTAGGTAATTTTTAACTCACCTTTGTATATACAATAATAGAAGGCCAGATGCTTCTCAGATAAGGAAAGCGTCTTACAATTAGTATACATTACCAATTAAAACAGTAATAACATTATATCAATATTACAATTTCTCTTACTCAACAATATACGTATTGTATACAATGTGTGTTAATTTTATTGTACGTTATATGGGAAATTATAATATTGACGTATAAAATTAATGTAAATCACAATCAGCTAATGTTTACTTGGGCATTTTTGACATTATTATAAATATTATAATGTACTTTCCGAAGGAACATCAAAATATTCACTTAGAGCACAAGTGCAATTACTGTGATGCGGTTTTCAAAGAAAAATTGGATCTAGCGGAACATATACGAGAGATCCACGATTTACAGTTATCCAATAAACTCAATACGAAAGAAAAATATGTCTGCAAATTCTGCGACAAGAAGTTTAACTCATGTAGATTGTGGAAAAATCATGAAAGAATTCACACTGGAGAAACGCTCAGTTCGAAATGTCACAAATTCTTTCGGTAATTTACTTTATAACGCATTTGCTGTAATCACACAAATATGCTTTGCACTTTTACGATTTCAATATATTTTCTATTTTTATCTTTTAGTTTAATTCTATTAATCTTTTTTAGGTCTGATCGATCGAAATCGCATCATGTACAACGTGAACATAAAAAGAAGGAATATGTGTGTGATCAGTGCGGAAAATGTTACAGGTAAAAATGCTTCTGTATAAATTAACAGTAACTTTAACATAATATTGTAATAAAATCGTAATAATACAATATATACATATTTTTTTAATTTTTATCTTTTTGTTTAATTCTATTGAATCTCTTTTAGTTCGCACGTTTCGAAATGGCATCATGTACAATGTGTACATAAAAAAAAGGAGTTTGTGTGCAATCAGTGCGGAAAATGTTTCAGGTAAAAATGCTTCAATATAAATTAACAGTAACTTTAACATAATAAAATCGTAATAATACAATATATATATTTTTTTATATTTATTTTTTCGTTTAATTCTGTTGAATCTCTTTTAGTTCGTACGTTTCGAAATGGCGACATGCACAATATCATAAGAAAGAAAACTTCGTGTGTGATTATTGTGGAAAATTCTTCAGGTAAAATTATCCTCGTTAAAAATAAATTTGCATTAACATATTTCAATATAATATCCAATAACACAATTGTCAGGCCGTGAGCCCAATTGAAAAAATATATATTAGGAACAGGAATAAATATAAGAATTTCAATTCCTCAGAAACAGTGTACCGTAGAATTCACGATTTCTGATGAATTGAAATTCTTATATTTACTCCTATTATTTTCTCTATTATGCTTACGGCCTTACGTATAACATACGATATATTTCTATACTTGAGTAAAAAGTTTTAATATTGACGTAATAACAATTTACATATATTAATTGATATTTATCATTGTCAGAATTATTATATAGATAAGACGCTACGTAATATTTGTTATGTCAACAGTATCAAACTCGATTTACGTGCTCACATTTGGACGCATTTGCCAGTGGAGGCTCGCAAGTATCAGTGCGAAATATGCCAGAAGAAGTTTATAAAGAACTGTCAACTCACTGATCACAAACGTGTTCATAGTGGAGTACGGCCATATAAATGCGACGTGTGCTCGTTCAGTTTCACGCTATTGACCAATATGAAACAGCATCGAAGACGGCACTTTATGAATGAAGACAAACCTGTAAGAAATATGTGTAAAGGAGAAAACTTCGTGTGTGATTATTGTGGAAAATGCTTCAGGTAAAGTTATCCTCGATAAAAATAAATTAGCATTAACATTATTTTAATACTCATATAATACTCAATAATACAATTGTCAGACCGTGAGCCTAATTGAAAAATATTGGGAACAGGACTATAAAATATAAGAATTTCAATCCATCAGAAACCGTGTGGAATACACGATTTCTGGCAGATTGAAATTCTTAGATTTATTCCTAATATTTTCTCTATTATGCTTACGGTCTTACGTATAACGTATGATATATTTATATCCTTGAGTAAAAAATTATAATATTAATTATTATTATAATATTAATTTATATTTATCATTGTCAGAACTATTATATAGCTAAGACGCTACGTGATATTTGTTATGTCAACAGTGTCAAATACTATTTACGTGCTCACATTTTGAGGCATTTACCAGTGGAGGCTCGCAAGTATCAGTGCGATATATGCCAGAAGAAGTTTATAACGAACTATCTACTCACTAATCACAAACGTACTCATAGTGAAATACGGCCTTACAAATGTGACGTGTGCTCATTCAGTTTCAAGCAATTGACTA